GGAGCCGCTATTTCCTTGAAATAACTCCTATATTATCCTAACGAGACTGAATGGACCCCGTTCCAGACCCACTATTTCTCAGAAAATCTGGTAGCGCCGGGAATCGAACCCGGACCTCTGACCACTAGACCACAGATGCGGTCGGTATTAGTTCGTTTGTGGACTCAAGCCATGGAGTTTGTTTTTTGTTTGTTTGTTATGGAATATAGTAGGTGACTGATGAATAATTAATTGAAAAGGATCTGGAAGAAAGAATCTGTTGCCTGATCGAAGCATTATCCCGGCGTTTTTCTGGATCGTTGTAAAAAGGAGATTCTCCGTATACAGGGAGGATTCGGCAAAATTCGTAAGCGCCTTGCGGCAAACGGCGCTCCGGACGTCGCGAAGCGCAGAGCTGTAAACCGACCAACAAAGAAAAAAGAAAAAAAAAAGAACTCTCTGTATATGATATTAACTTTCATCTTCCTGACTGCAATTCGAAAACGTAAAAGATAATTTTTACAGAACTCTTTATATCTGTTTTACGTGAATACTTAACAATCTAACTTGGTTTCTCGCATTAAAGTGGGGATATGGCGTTTGCGAACAGGGTGCTGAGGGGAACATTTTGACCTAAGAGAGAGGGAATAGCAAGAGGACGGAGACAACTTGCATAATGAGGAACTTGGTAATTTTAACTCTTCGCCGTATTATTGCGATTGTGATTAGATTAAGGAGGATGAGATACACGGACTATATAGCGCGGATAACATTGAGAAATTCAGTAAGAGCATCTGAAGAGAAGAAAACATTCTTGAGACCTAAGCGTAGATGGAAGGATAGTATTAAAACAGATCTTAAAGAGGTTTTCAGAAATTCTGTATCGCTCTCTGTTGGCTGTTTAACGGAAGAGGGTGGCGCTATGAAAACATTTCACATGGACCATCCTACTAGACATTTCGTTATGTGATCTATACCACATTTCTGTATTCTTATGTATGTAACACTAACGGCAAAACTTGCCTTTTCCAAATTCAGTTTCTATTAATATTTTGTTTATATGAAGGTCACAAGGTAATTAATCCATAAGTTAATAATAAATTTTGGTCTGGCTGACCATAGTCCCTAGTAATTCATGCTTTTATCTATTCTCTGACTATATATTCTGCGTTACGTGTGCCAAGTTTCGCTCAGCTGGGCGCCAATGTATATTTATACCAACGATACTCCTTTCTAGTTGGCCATTTGCTTAATATAAAAATAAAAAACTAACTCATATAATTGGTATTCGTTTTTATTCAGTTTGAAAAAACCTTCTGCAATTACAGAAACACCGCTCTGTTTTACTTAATCTGCTCAGAATTGGGGCCAGACTCCGGGTTACACATTTGTATCTCTGTTAAATCTCGTCTCAATGAAAATATTTCACAGAAATGGATAACAAATGTGAGTTTATTTACTTACCTCGCTATAAATCACTTCGTCACCCATTTTAGAGCATTTAAACTCGTGCGATCGTGAATAGCTGAACTTCGTGTAACTGTTTGAAGGCTAATACAGTGCTACTCCATTACCTAAGGTCAAAGAGACTTCTTCACGACCGTCATGCCCTCTACTGAACACGACTATAACTGCATCATCAGCGAACGATCAGGAATTTGTGATTGCATAGCCTTCAGGTTCCCTGCTTCGAAATTAGAAGCATTGGCTGGTACTTGGTGAATAATACAGTGCGGAAGGATACGTTGCATTGACTGTAGCACATACCAGCATACGAATTGAACACAGTTCACAAAGATTGATCATTTCTCTTCTGACTAACTCATTAGAACAGAATCCTTCTTAAAAAGTTGATAGTCTCTCAGCTAGCCATGAAACGCAACACCTTTTATTGAGCCTGATCTTTCATTACAGTCTTCATAAGAATCCCCTACTGGTTCTGATCCTGAGCCAAATGAATCCAGTCCACATCATGACATACTGTTTCCCTTGGACCAATTTTAATATTATTCCCACATGTGTTTCTGTGTAACCCAAGTGGTCTCTTCACTTCAGATTATCCGACCGAAATGATATATTTCTCGTCACTATCATGCATGCTAAATGCCCCACGCATCTCATCCTCCTTTATTTGACCAGCCGAACTATATTTGGTGCCGGTCACGGTAGCCGAGCTGTCTAAAGCAAGCACTGTCTTCGCTCCCTCGGAAGCCGGGATCGTGGGTTCGAATCCCACTCAGGGCATGGATGTTTGTGTGCGTTTTTCTGTGTTTGTTTACAGGTAGAGGCCTTGCGACGAGCTGATCATTCGCCCAAGGAGTCCTGCCGTATGTGTAAGATCTAGTAAACCGAAGTGAAACGGAGAGTTTCATGGAAGTAGGCCTAGGCCCAAAATTGGGGCTGTGGCGCCACAGAAAAAAAACTATATTTTGTGTTGAGTTAAAATTATAAACCTGCTCGTCATGTAATCATTAGCCGTCATTAAGCAAAAATATACTTCGCTGTCAAAATTTTTTTATTTTTCGTTTTTCTAAAACTGTGGTCTAATAAAAGTTGCATTCGATAGACGTTCGAGTTATTCCTATCTCAGAAATTCGAACGGCTGCTCTGTCAGTATTGTTTATAAGAAAGTATAAAGTTAATGTTGTCGCGCCCGTGGCAAGTTGTTCATACGGATTTTCACGAAAATATGTTTCAGCGTCTGTAATGACTAATGAGCATGACAATTACGAGTAGAATAAGATCGGGCACACGTAGCTCCAAAGTTCGAAAGGAACCTGACACAACCAGGAATGGACGTTCATAAACGATCCAGGATGGAGGACAAGATGGCGGGGAATGTGGCACACATGTGACAGATGATAAGTGCATATATAATTTTAGTCGGAAAGTTTAAAGGGAAGCAGGACCGAATTTAGAGTTGCGGGGGCCCCAGGGCAGTCAAAATGTGAAGGCCCCAGTCAGTAACAAAAGATTTGGGTTTTGACAGTTCTTCTGTTTTTCATATTTATTATAGAAATATGAACAAACTTTTCGTGATTTTAGAGAAGCAAATGTATTAGTGAAGTCCATGGATTCTAGTTTTATTTTGTGGATGCCCAAGGGCGACGGCCACTGTCGCTTTCACTTAAAATTTTCCATGAAAAAACGGCAAACTGAGACACCTAATCATAAATTGGAAGATAATAATAAGAAATATGTGAGGGCATGGTCTCGAATAAACTGGCTCATGTTGAAATCGAGTGGCGAACTCTTGTGAACAAGCCTTTGTGTTCCATAACAGACGGGGAATTTTTTGACAAAGTCAAAGACTGTTAGTTTATAAAAACACCTATGCTTCATGGAGTTAATTACTTTTGTGTAAAGAAATCCCCAAAATAAATATGAAACCCCCTTTCAGGCCAAGTATCTGGAAGGAAGCAATTGTAGCCTTAATTAGATGTACTGTACCTGAATTTGCCTGGCGGTACTGTGGAACATCACGAAAATCTCAGTCGGCATCGTCAATGTCCAGGCCGAGAATCGAACCGGGAATCTACCGAATGCAAACCAGAAACAATTAACTTCAGCTTGAGTCGTCTTTCTTGGTTAATAGTTTTTGTTCGAATTTAATATTCGTACTTGCTAATCAGTTATGACGCTAGTTAATGTGAAACTCAAACTAGAATTATGTAATTTCTTAGTAGCTGCTCATTGTGCAAACATAAATTACTACAAGATTATGACATATCATAAGATCTAGTGATATCGTGACGTGTATACCCATTGCTAGGCAACGACTAGCTAAACACGCCTCAACAATAGAGATCCTGTTTTCTATGCGGTCCGCGCCGCGACCGTTGCTATGGAATGGTTACTCTTATAAACCCTCAATCGGATAGCGGAAAACTCTCATCTCTTCACTGTTGCATAATTGCCGTATTTACAGGCGTTGCTGGGGAACGTTGCCGAGAGTTGTTTATTGCTGCGTAGTAACCGCAGTGTCCCCTGTTACGTACTGCGGGAAGTGCTGTTACGTCACCGAGGGGGAGGGGGACGGAGTGTTGACTGACCTGTTACCGTAGCAGCGGCAGTTGCTCCGAAGATGTTACGTCACCGCTGGAGGGGAGGGGTATTTACCGAGCGTTGCCCCGTCCACGTCACAATACGTTAATTTCAATATGGGTCATTACTTTGAAGCGTCAGTCCATCTGTCCATCCGTCTGTACGAGCAGCCGGTGAGCGCTAGGAGGCCCAGATGAGCCAAGCGGTGTCCGAATCTCGCAACCCAAGGGGCAATGTATTTCTAACACAGGGAGTAAGGTGTTCAGCCGCATGTCACAGGTTGGCGCAGCCCCTACGTTTAAAATGGTCGTGTCGGCACAAAATGAGCCTATAATTTTTTAAACATGAGGTAGTTTGTGATAAAAGACTCTTAAATTGTGGTAATTTAAATAAGAACACGCGTCCCCCACCCGTTTCCTGAAGCATAGGCATGGGGGGAATACATTTTGTTAGGACCTAGTTGCTCCTGTTCAGACTGTCACGGACCGCCGCTGCAGTTAAGGACAGTTTTGTTTAAGTGATTTTTTTTTACTAAATCCAGTATTATTTTCGTGACCTCGCGTTCCACCCTGCCGACCGTTATTTGCAGTGGTTTAGAAACGATGCTTTGATTGTTTAAAGGGAGTTTTAATCATATAAATCGTATCCTGCTTCAGTGAATGTTCTAAAGCGAGAATATGTTTTAGTCGTGGAGAGAAAAAGAGTTAAACTTACTTTGTTATTAAATTATTCACGGAAAACATAACATTTTCTAAAAGTAAACTTAGAATATGTTTAGTGTTATGTTTAAGAATGATATTAAAATAGAACTTACAGAAATAGGGCATGATGTTATTTTGACCTAGAACGGGGTCTCGTGAACTTTGTGAACACGGTAATGTGCAGCCCTTCCGCGTTTCCTAACAGGCAACAAATTGCTTGCATGACTCAGCGGCCATTAGCTTCTGCAGCAGTCCTTTGCAACATGGCGTTATTCACCATTAGTGATCCGTGATCTTTACTATTCACACGGTTCACGCTAGGCTTGTGATTGCAATGACTTGTCTGTACCCTTTGGTAACGGTGAGCAGGGGAAGTATTATCAGAATGTGCTATGGTTAGTTTCCGCAGGTCGTCATATCAGTCATACACTTTCAACATGGCGGTGAATGTGTATGTGAGTGTGTCTGGCCCTGCGTTGTCATTCTTGCTTTACGAAAATGTGAGAAGTTTAAGTGATCAGGTAACTATAAATAAGGCTGTTATGTATATGATACTGTGTACAAGATATCGTCGTGATTGTGGTAGAACTCTGTATCTCCTGTCGTAAAGTCAGCCCATCCCAGGTAGCAAGTCTTACATTATTATATGTATTTACAGGAAGGATTTCTACTAGGAGAAGTTGTAAGTCATGTTACCGATACTATAAGTGATTCCCAGATACGTGGGGAGAAAATGGAGACTATAATAAGTGAGTACATGAGTAAATTGAGAAGTTGGGGATTTTCTAGTATAACTTAGCAGTCCAACAAGGACTTCCCATTACACTGTATTTTCTTAGCATAACCGTACTATTTTCTTGTTTCGAATACTAAGTTACGTTTTAGTGACTGTGCCTGGTAGAAGATTATATTTAATAAATGGACTGTATCATTTGAAAGATATTTTTGTTTTGATTATGAAATCCTGTTTACTGTTACATATTAGAATGTATTAATGTGAAGAAATACCCAATAAAACCAGGCCAGATAATTCAAGAGTAGAGTGTTCAGTTGAGCCTGAAGGTGTGCTGCTTATGATAGTGCACTGGTAGATACTGTGCGGCCATAGAGGCAACAGTACTAAAAATGACTGAACAACTGTTAGAATTTACCCCTTTCTGTCTTCAGTCATACCTTGCTTTATGTAAGTAAGTTTTGCTACATTCTGAAGTTCTGAAGCAGGTCAGTATATTTCATACATATTGATCCAGATTCATGGTTGGCTGAAAAGTTCATCTGTCAGTAATTTGCCATGCACATGCAGAACAGCACATCATTTTGTGTGCTGTATTATGTACTTACTCCTTGGACCTATCCTCCTCCAGGAACCGTCGGCCCCATTCTTCTCTCTCTCTCTCTCTCTCTCTTGTTTTGTGAAGAGGGGTTATTAGCTTCATGCCCAATCCCCCATCTAGAGTTCCAGGGGTTAGTTTTAGTATGGCCCCTACTCTTTGACCTAACTAGCATAGGTGACCCTACCAGAAAATTACAGCCCTCTTAGAGAAACTTTCTGGGTGATTGGGCCTTGCAGACCATGCCACCATATTGAGGTAGGAGCTCAGGGGAGGATGCAGGGAATGGCATGAGGATTCTCTTCACTCCATATTCATATATTTTGCATATTGTATGACCATTAAGCTAAGGGTTCATCAATTATGAACAGCAGTGTTGAATCCATGACTCCATCGTGCACATTTTACAGCAACTAGTTTCAAAAGTGAATTCCTTCACCATGGTCGGTTGCTTAAACTTGTACACCAACATTATTTTATACAGGAAAATTGCAATTAATTTTTTTTTTTTTAGTTTTGAATGCATTTCCCAGTGAAACACCAGTTTCTTGTGCCAGGCATTTTAATGGTTTGCAAGGACTAATCTCTTACTGTTCATGAATACATTACACCTTTTCTTCAGTCCTGAATCATTTCTTTTTATCGCAAAATGAACCCATGATCTGCCACTATTTGACAAGCTGTGGGAACTTCCTTCCTTTAGATTTTATTTTGTTAAAGTAAACTGAAAATAAAGTTAAAAGGTTTGGATAGAAGCAAAGATGTCCCCGAGCTTCATTAAGCAGCATTCCATGAAGACATGTGGGAGAGTGGAGGTATAAACTGCACATTCTTAATCCTGCCACTAGATGAAGGTAAGTGGTCAGCTTAGAGCTCCCACTTCTTTATCTATAGTGAAAGGGCTCCTGGTACCCATTGCATAGGAAGCTGGATATACAATGGAGTCAATTTCTATGCTTTGGAAAACAGAAAAATCCCTTGCCTCTTCCAGGAATTGAACACTGGTTCTTTGGTCATCCAGCCTGTAGCTTAGCTATAAAAGTCAGTGTTTGATAGTATATATTATTGGAACAGTAATGAAATTCAGAACTGAAAATACAGCAGAATCTTTATTCATGGCTGTACAAATCAAACTGTATGTTGACTGCCTGAATGACTCATCATCACATTGGAGAGTCACATGGTAATTGTCAGCCGGAACATCCCCTGCAATCACTCTGTTGTTACATGTCTCTCATTGGAGCTTTGTATTTGCATAAGATGCGTGATACATACCCCAGTATTGTACTGTGTCATACTTTGACATAATGTATTGTAACATAACTTACTACAGCATAGCTCAATTGACTCCTGAGGAATTTGAAATTTATTACTAATATGTAACATTTTAATTTTTTAAGTGGAATTTTTAGCCAGAAGGTTCAGATATGGCAAATTTGTTGATTGGGCAATACAAATCAGTTACAGTGTAATAAATTATAGCAGTTTTAGAGTGACATTTATTTAGGCTATCATTTATGTAGTGTGTGATAAACTCACGGTTATCATCAACATTGTTGGACTGTGGAATTGTCAAAGAGGCAGTTAGATTTGGTAGTTTGTTTATTTATTTTATTCATCAGTAATCTATCATACAACAGGCCCACAGTCTCTTCCAAAACAGTTCCTCCACTTCATGTGATCTAGAGCTTTCTCCTTCAAATAAAAATATCCTCTTCTGTCCCCAAGGTCATCCATCATCTTCTTGCGTCTTTTTCCTCGTCTGGTCGCATACATGGTATCTCTGTTTTTGGAAAGAGACTATCCAGTGTAGTGTATTTAATCTTTATCATACATGTGTGGTATGAGTGCCAATACACGGGTTCATTCTGCAGGCCTAGCCTTGGATTTTTTAAAATTTATCCCATTACCAGCAAGTGTATATCTGGCTGTCTTAACCATAGTAGTGGGAGATTTAAATCTGACTGAGAAAGTTTAACCATGCTGTGAGTCGCTCAAACCGTGCAGTATCATATGGTAGGATGGTTACTGAATAATGAATTGGTAAGGATGTGGAAAGAAACAGTAATGGCCAAATTGGAGATGCTGTCCCAGCATTTTTCTGGAGGGACTAAGGACAATTATGAACAAGCACAGTAAGGATAGCTGGTGTCTGGGCCAACAACCCAGGACCTTCTGAATTCAGAATAGGAGAGTTTGCCATATGACTGAAATGTTTGGTCATTTTGTGTGTGAAGTAGAAGCCAAACATGTTTATTATTGTTGCAGTGCATGCAGTTTAAAACTTGCATGAAACTGTGCATTCATATGATGGTCTCCTTCTTTAGTGTTAGTGTTAATCATAACTTCTTTGTACTGGAGATGTGTGGTTGTTATTTAAAAGATGTTTGGATTTTGTGTTGCTCTTGATTGATTAGTTATAGAACATGTTTCATATTGCATCAGTGGTGCCAATGTGTGAGGAATCATTATAAACCAACGTTGCTCCTTCAAGGAGAGTCATGGAGAGAATGGAAGAAGAACCTCGTCTTAGTTATGTGTAATATAAGCATTTTACTCATAACTGTGTTATTTCCTGAGATGCAAAGAAAACAAAAATCATGTTGTTTTTTAAACTTTATCCTATTTCATACCATAGAAGAAGATAAGTTGCTGAGGTTTATAATTATTTATTACTTTTGCCAGCTAGTATATACAGATGGAAGCATATGGAGTACAGAGCTCACATCATTATTTGTAACCCTATCACATAGGTTGTTTATTTCAGTGATGTTTAGGTTTCTGTTGGCTAAGAATGGTTTTCTAACAATTCTTCGCTGGTAAGGGCTTAACATTTTAGAGCCATTTTAGATTACTGTGCTACTCGGAAGAAAATTTCTTGGAATCATTATTTGATTCAATAGAACTAACAGATGAACTACTGATCAGATCTTTTGCATTTGCCAGATACTGGAGGAGCATACAATGAGATGGTACAGCAGCTATTTGTAGACTTTGAGAAAGCATATGATTCAGTTAGGAGGGAAGTATTGTACAATATTCTGATAGAGTTTGGGCTATCCATGAAACTAGTTAGGCTGATTAAAATGTGTTTAAATGAAACACATGTTAAAATATGTATAGGTAAACATTTTGTCTGATAATTTTCCTATCCAGAGTGGTCTGAAACAAGGAGATACTTTATCACCACTCCTTTTCAACTTTGCTTTAGAATATGCCATTGAGAATGTTCAGAAAAACCAGGTGAGATTGAAATTAAATGGGAAATATCAGCTGCTGGTGTATGTTGATGGGAATCTACAGGGTGATAACATAGATACCATAAAGAAAAACAGCAATTTTAATTGATGCTAGTAAGGAGGTTGGTCTAGAAGTAAACACAGAGAAAACTAAGTATATGTTACTGTCTTGTCACCAGAATGCAGGGCAAAATCATGACATAAAGATAGCTAACAGATGTTTTGAAAATGTGGCACAGTTCAGATATTTTGGGATGACAGTAATAAATCGAAATTTGATTCAGGAGGAAATTAAGAGGAGATTGAAGTTGTGTAATACTTGCTACCATTCAGTCGAGAAGGTTTTTTCTTCTCATTTGCTGCCTAAAAACGAAAAAAATTATAATATACAGAACTAGTTGTTACTTGTGGTCCTGTTTGGGTGTGAAACTTGGTCTCTGACATTAAGGGACCATAGACAGAGCGAGTTTGAGAACAGGGTGTTGAGGAGAATATTTAGACCAAAGAGAGATGAAGTGATAGGAGGTTGGGGAAAACTGCATAATGAGGGGTCTCATAAGTCGTACTTTTTGCCATGTATAAGAATGATTAAGTCAAGAAGAATGAGATGGTCTGGGCATGTAGCTTAGATGGTGGAGAAGAGGAAAGCTTCTAGGGTAGTGGTGGTAAAGCCAGAAGGAAAGAGACCATTAGGAAGACCAAGATGTAGGTGGGTTGATAATATTAAAACGGATCTTAGATCAGATGAGATAGAATGGATTGGATTGATCTGGCCCAGGATAGGGACCGGTTGAGTGCTGTTGTGAGGACAGTAATTAATGCTCAGGTTCCATAAATTACTGGGAAGTTCTTGAGTAGCTACACAATTGGCGGCTTCTCAAGAAGGGCTGAGCCCCATGAAGTTAGTTAGCACTTACATAACTAAGTTTAAATACATGATTTATTTTATCCGTCTTCTAGTGCATACATTTATTTATCCCCTCTTCTCACTTTCACTACATGTTTCGGCACAAATGTGCCATCTTCAGGTGCTGATCCAAATAAATCTTTATCATATATACTGACAAATGTCAAGTGTTAAAATACTAAAACTGTACAGTATTTAGTATTTTAACACTTGACATTTGTCAGTATATATGATAAATATATATTTTAGTTATTTTAGTATGTAAAGACAAGGCATGCAATGAATTAGTTTGTCGTGGATTGGATCAGCACCTGAAGATGGCACATTTGTGCCGAAACATGTAGTGAGAGTGAAAAGAGGGGATAAATAAATGTATGCACTAGAAGACGGATAAAATAAATCATGGACTTAAATCAGTGCAACAGGACGCAAAAATATAACATTAAGTTTAAATATCCAGATATGTATCCTTGTGGATGCATATTATTGAAATAGACACTCCAGGAACAGTCTGTACAATTTCTACTGAGGCTGAGGAAGGAAGCCTCATGGAAGCCTCTCTCTGCATGTCCCTTGAGATGTTATGCTTTTCTGTCCAATTATCTAGCCATTCTCTTAATGCAAATGATAGAAATGATAACCACGTGATAACCTTTAACATGGGCAGAGGGGGCTGGAGTTGTGTGCATTAGTAGGCAGAGACTGGGAAGCCTCAAGTGTCATCATCCCCACCTTTTTCTGTGAATTTAGTGTAATTATTTTAACAATTTAAACAAGTAGCTGTACATCCATGCAACATACTATGGGAAACCAGATCTTTAGGGGTTTTTATTAAGTATGAGTACATATTATTTATTCATGTATTTCAGTTCATTTGATGCATTCAGTTATATGATCCAGCAAACAGAGTAGCTTGTCACAGTGTCTCATCCAGTCATTGCATTACTTTGGCCATACTGTACACTCTTGGTTTGATTGGTTTTCAAGCTGTTTTGTTATTGCTTCAGCAGAATAGAAAATATAGTGTTGACTGTGTTCTGTCTTAATTGTGTCATTTGGATATAATGGTGAATCCAGCCGTGTATTCGGGAAAAATTATGGACCATTTCCAGGTGGTAATCTAATCTCATGCTGACTTGTAGTCTGTAGTTGTTTGCTACAGTTGTGAGTTAGGGTTACATGGAATTCACAGCTGTTTTTAAACTGTTTAATTCAAAGAATTAATACAGAATGTTACACACTATATTAGCACAAAGATGGATATAAGTTACCACTTGCATACAAGAATGAAGCTGTGCTCCCCTTATTTTTTTCACCATATAATCACGTGTGGAGGTGGGGTCGAATACCTCCACCGTAGCCCTGTGAGTCGTATGAGGCGACAAAGAGGGAAGTCTCGAATCATAGACAGTAAAATATGGTCGCTAGTCCCACAGGACTCGGGCCCGAGAATAACTGCGCTGGCTAGGGCCAGCAGCCATTGTAAACGACAGACCCGTCTTCTAGTCTGAGAGAGTGCCCCACATCAACAAACCCGCAGCTGTCTGACAGTAATAAAGATCTGGTTGTAAGCCCCAGATGGGTGCTCGGCACCAAGAGAGACTGGCCGACTGACCGTCGGTCGTAACGTAAGACTCGACTTGACTCGCTGTAGATAAGAATCCAGGAGACAGAATACACAGAAGACAAACATAACCCAGAAGAAGTCAGAAATGAAGTCTTTAGTTTATGTGGTATTATCATTGTTCGTATTTGCGAAGTGTTATGGCGTGACCAGAGTGGTTTGAACGGCTGTTGTACTGCGATGTGGAAAGCAAATGGAAAAACTACCACATTATCACTTTTCCTGGATAGTCTCTTTCCAAAAACAGAGACACCATGTATGCGAACCAGAAGACGAGGAAGAAGACGTAAGAAGATGCTGGATGACCTTGGGGACAGAAGAGGATATTTTTAATTGAAGGCGAAAGCTCTAGATCGCATTAAGTGGAGGAACTGTTTGCGAAGAGACTGTGGACCTGTCGTCTGACAGATTACTGATGAATGAATGAATAAGTGCATTTTGCTTAAATTAATTATCAATCGTTATAAATAATGATTGGTTACACAGGTTTAAAGAGGATCTTGCACATAACATTGGCCATGACAATTACAACAGCTTATGACAGAGACTATCGCTGGTAGATCTGCCAGCTAGGAGATTTAGTACAGTTTGCAACTAGCATGTGCTGTGTTGTGTCAGCATACTGTGTTATCGTAATCCCAGAGCAACATAATTTTATTATGTAGAGAGAGAAGGCTTTTTCTTTTTCTGAGATAGTGTTAGTGCTTCAGATGTGCAGGAAGATTTGAAACAGAAATAAAATATTTTTACCTTATAGAAGAATATTTGAGCTGTATTTCAATTATAGGATAGTGGTATCATCTTTAAACATGTACATGGAATTTTCCTTTACATAAGCACTAACTGTATGTACATAAATATTCCCAATTTTCAGTTTGGATTGAATTTTATGTTGCTGTATATGTAATGAATTTCTGATTCTTTTGTTGTAGGTGTAAATTCTTTGATGCCAATTCCAAGTACAGTGGCATTTTGCAGTGGTATTGGGAAAGTTAATCATGATAAACTAAAGGAGTTTCTGAAGGAAAAAGAAAAAGTAGGTTATTGAAATCCTTACACTTATGTAATTGGTATGTTGTGTGTAATTGCCTTAGTTGTTTAAACAGTCTGTCAGATCAAAGATATCTCGTGTGTTCTTGATGTTTTTTCAGTCTTCATTCATTGTATACAGTAGGGGTCACCCATATTTTTATGGGTGACAGGCAACATTAAGAAAGTTATAATGTAGTATATAGCAGGCACTGTGTGAATAAAGAAATATGAAAGAGCCAGTTGAAATAATTAGTTTATGGATAACTATCCACTTCATGTTTTCACATCATGACATTTTCCAAAACTTTATTTTGGCACACACTATCACACAAAGAATATGTAATGAATGCTAAGTGATATCTCATAAAATTTCAGCATTATTTACTTCCAAAAATGTAAATAATGTGATGCTAGTAATATAATGTTACACCTGAACACAATCTAAACATTTAAAAGTCCTTGGAACAGGAAAAATTTGGTTCATAGAACACTTATGATATTAAGAAATAATTATGCATATTTTATAATTTACATATGCAGACAAACTCTTTGTGAAACACCAAGGTGTCCACAGGCAATGATTGACAGTCTGTGGTATGCTTAAAATTTCCATACAAGGAGATTTTGTGGACCTATCTTTGAACATATATATATATATGCAATACTTCTATGCCATTTTGGCCAGCCAGTGTTGCCATGTTACTTGAAAGCTGAAGTAAATACCTCAGTAAATAACATAAACCAATTAAGCAATTCATGAAGGATGAGAAGAGTGTGGGCATGAATGAAGGAGAAGAGAAATTGATGCAAAATACTACTCAGACTACCTGAAGATGATGATGCCACCTGAAAGATCTAGGCATACATATTAGGGTAATGTTAAAGTGGATGCTAAGGAAACTGTGACATGAAGAAAACTGCTTTCTTCATAGTCACCGTCATGAAAGCCTCAAATCTTACAAACTGTGACATGTTGACTGAATTCGTCTGTCTCAGGATAGGTTTTAATGGCAGGCTGTTATGAACACAATAATTCATCTATGGGTTCAGTAAAAGGCAGGGTATTTCAGGGCTAAGCTGAGTGACCATTAGTTTCTGAAGGACGCTGCTTTGTGTAGTTAGTGACAGTCACATACATAGTGCATAATTGTGTCAAAGCTATTTTTGGATGTGATTGTGAAGACTGGAGTTTTACAGTTGTAATTTTAAGATGTGTGGAGAGGACATAAAAGTAACCAAGAGCTTCTGCATCTCTGTTTCTCCACCACAAACACCAGCACCTATTCCTCTTCCTCCTCTTACCCCCTTTCTGATACCGTTGTATATTTTTACTTTCCTTCAATTTTAGATCGTTTTTCACACTGTCAGATAATTATGTATTACCAAAACTGATTCCTAATTCTGTCTGTGTACGACACAGACATTTGACACATTTGGCCCTTGTTTATCGCAGAGCCTTTCCTTTTTCACTTAGGTGTGGGTGGCTAGAAGAGAAAAGTTTTTGTACATAATCTCAGTATTGGGAAATAGAAATTTGAATTTGTAAACTTTTCCTGAAAGATGGCCTGTTCATTTATGATATATTTTGTCCCTTTTTAGAAAGTGGTTGGGTGGTACAGTTTCCGACGTAACTCTGTACTTAGCCCACATCTTCGAGAAAAGCTTCTACATAAAGAACTTTGTTCATCATTGTCTCATCTCTCATCGGAACACTTCACTTTGTGTCTCCTTAACACTTCAGTGTCCAGTCCAGGTTCGACCCATGTGTTTAACCATAAATTCATGCGCCACCGCCATAGGTAAGTGAAAAATATTAAGGCGTGTAGTAATGAGAAGGATTTCTGTATAGCTATCATAGGGCTCCAGTTTATCATGTAAGGCTGTAAAAACCTGCTCTCTCACCTGGCATTTGTGTGAATTAACACACTAAGTATAAAATATTTATATGAAACATATTTTGAGAGTGGGAAAATGAGGTATGTTAAGTGGCTAATAGATGATCTGTCTGTTTTTATAAGTTCATTTAACATTTCTGTCAGTGTCGAGACTATATAGCATCGAGAGTTGAGTTTATGCAGTCTTAGTGTTTGATATCTGTGTGTAAAAAAAGTAAAGCTATTCGTGTAACAGGCCCTGAAGGTCCATAGAGTTGTGAGATGTTGAGGGGCCCACATTATCTAGACAGTCTGCTCAAAGATGGCAGTAAGTTTGTTAGCCCTGCACACCAGCCGTGCTTTACTCCCCAGGAAAATTATTTAATCACGTGGTAGTGTAGTTGGTTGAGGCACTATGCTACAAACCAGAAGGTCGCGGGTTCAAGTCCCGATGAGGTCATTGGATTTTTTCAATGGACCTAATCCTTCCAGCCCACTATGGCCCTGGGCTTGACTCAGCCTCTAACAGAATTGAGTACCAGGATATCTGTGTGAACCATAGTGATAAGTATCTAGAGCAGAGCATTTCATAATTCCTTGGAAATATATCACTGTCAGTTATCCAGTCTTTATATCCTCAAGAATGATGTATGTGTAGGTACTGTTAGGTTATCAGGAAGGTGATTTTAATATAGAACTAAAGCATATCTTAGGAATGTAGCTGGAGAAGAAATCCGTGTACAGATTGGTCTTCACCATACAAAGACAGCTCACTCAGTGTGACTGGATGACCAGGAATTGTTTCCAATCAGGGGAACAGATTTTTCTGTTTGCCAGCATATCCAGATGAGAACTGGGGTCTACTCGGCCGTCTATCCAGTGGGTATCAGGAATTAAAGTACCTGGTGTAATGAAGCTGATTGATCACCTCCATCAAGTGCTGATGTTATGAATGCACTTTCCCAGATGTCTTCATGCCATGGTGCCATGGATTTCTCAATTCACTTAATCCTTCGAGCCACACTATGGCCCTTGGGTTGACTCAGCCTCTAACAGAAATGAGTGCCATGAATCTTGCTGGGGGTAAAGGGTGGCCGGCACATAAGGCCAACAACCTCACCACCATCTGTGAGCCGATTTTCTAGAAAATGTGGGATCCTCGACGTCTCACAAACCTGTGGACCTCCACATCCTAAATGGATAGCTTTAGTTCTTTGCAATGTTAAGTTCTGCTTATGTTATTTAAGAGCAACCAGGTGGCATGTTCCATTACTCAAGGGTAGTGTGTATCGTGACTAGCAGAGTTGCTCTTGAGTTGTTGCTGAACCATGAAGATTGCCATAATTTTTATTTTGAAGTTTGTGAAGAGGAAAATTCTCACTATATGGCTGGATTCATTTAGTTCACTGAGCGTTCAGAGGCCATCATGGTTACCAAAACTATAGCTGGAGGCCTTTATCATGAACATATTATGTTATTTAACAGCACTAATGATTATTTTCATTCACCACTTAACCCTTCCCAAGTGGACACCACATATATCTGAGGCTGATTGTTGCCCTATGCACAGAAATTATATATATCGAAAATTTATACAGAATTTATTTTTATTACTGTCTCTAGCCTAAGAAGTTATCATGTCTGTACTGACAGGTGCCATACACCACCACAGTTGCTAGCGAGCTGCTTGGTATGGACGTGATGAAAGGCACAGCATTGGTGTCGAGAAAAGAAAGGCTTGAACATCTAATAAAAGAGCAAAATTGAGAAAATGAGGCAAGGGGATGCGTTGTCATTCAGAAACAGTGGAGAGTCTGGTTTAGCATGGGAGGACAATTGTTTGTTTACAGTACTCACTACTGTTCACACAGGGAGTAGAAATGAGGTGACAGAAGTGCCTTCTGAATGTCCAAACTAACCTCCTTAAATGAAACCAAGTATCCTGTTAGATTACGCTGAACATACAGGAGGGAATGACTGCAGTGCCCACTGTGTTGCCCCTTATCAGTTCATGAAGGGGATGAAGAAGTTGTGCAGGGAAATGTTCTTCTGGTTCCTGGATGTGAGGGCTTTGAATTCATAGTATCATGTTTTAGTGACTAAGCACAGGGTTTGGATTGGTAACTGAATTTATTGAACACTTATAACTCATAACCACAAGTAGCTGTAACAGTCTTACTACTTTAAACAAGGATCACTGTAATTACAGAGCATGTAAAGTCTTCTATGGCTTCATTAATTGTTGCCTGGTAATGGCTTCTAACAACGGATATTCTTCAGCTTCCATGCTTATATCCTTACTTGCTGGTGACTTTCTCACAACTAACGTGCCTTGTTTTTCTTCGCTGTATAGCCTTGGCGTGGACTGCATAAGAAACACCGATTCTAACAGTTCCTCTGTTGTTGCATGATTTTTCAAGTTGACTGTTGCCTAGTGTTAGCCCATGTGTTTGTTGATGTGGGTGAGTGCTTACCATCTGTTGGCTAGCAACTGTGGTTCATCTGGCTCTGGTGTTCCACCTTTCAGCCAGTATGTCACAATATTTCCTGTCTCTCTTGGGCCAGGAGTGATATAGTAACGCACAGGAAGTTGAGGCAGTGTCTTGTGGAATCCATAGTGCTTGAAATATTGACTACCAGTGCAAGAACACCAAAGGCTAAACAAGGCAGACCATCTGCTGATCTGCACAGTGACAGGCTAAATGGTGAGCCTAATTTTAATGACAGGTGACAGGGTCTTTCAGGTGTAAGGCAAAGAAATTGCTGGTAGAGACAGTGTTTCTGCAAGGCCTATGTTAAAAGGTGTTCTTATGCCTGGAAAGGTGCTTGGTACACAGCCAGAAACTTGTAAAGATTTTGTAAATAATGAAATTCTTTAGATGGAGGTAGTATGTTCCCCTCTAACATTGATATCCATCTACAAGACTTATGGTATCATGACCCAGAAGTCCTCAGTTTCAGCTTATGAACATGTAGTGTGTAAATCAGAATTAGTGCTAGTAATGACATATGGTGTGATGAAATATTCATTCATTCATCAGTAATCTGTCAGACGACAGGTCCACAGTCTCTTCCAAAACAGTTCCTCCACTTAATGCGATCAGAGCTTTCTCCTTCAAATGAGAATATCCTCTTCTGTCCCCAAGGTTGTCCAGCATCTTCCTCGTCTTCTTGTCACTTCTATCCGCCCATCTGTCTTTCCTTCAGTAACTTCTTTTAGAAGGCAGTTACTGCGTAAGATATGACCAATCCAATTAGCCTTCTGTTTTCTTATTTAGTGTAGGATATTCCTCTGCTCACTGACTCTAAATAACACTTCTTCATTTCTTACATAATCGGTCCAACTGATCTTCTCCACCCTTCTCCAACACCACATGTCGAAGCTTTCCAGGTGTTTCTGATCTGCTGCCCTAAGTGTCCAAGTTTTAGCCCCATACAATACAAGTTGAACAAAATTGGTGATAAACAGCATCCTTGTTGAACTCCTCTTTCAGTCTTCACACTTCTTGTCTCCCCTCTGTCCAGTCACACTCTAACTTTCTGATCCATATACAATTTACTGATCAATCTTCTTTCCTGCCAGTTGATACCTGTTTCCTTTAGGATCTGCATTAATTTGGTCCAATTTACACAGTCAAATGCCTTCTGCCAGTCTATAAAGCAAGCACACAGTTCTTCATCTATCTCCAAAGTTCGTTCTGCTATAATTCTCCTCATCCCAATTGCATCCTTGGTTCCTTTTCCTCTTATAAATCCAAACTGATCCTCTCCAAGTATATCCTCTATTTTCCTTTCAATTCTACTTTTAAGTATCTTTGCTATTATCTTTGCTGCATGTGCAATAAGGCTTATTGTGCGATGGTCGCTGCATTTTGTAGCTTTTGTCTTTTTCTTTAAGGCACTCATTGTCACTTC